ATAATAAATACATAAATAAATAATAAATAAATGCTGTGTGTGTGGAGTATTTGCCTCATGTGTGCGACCCTGGGTTTGACTCCCGGAGTGCAGAAGCAAAAACAAAAACAAACAAAAGCCAATAAATGCTGCATGTGTGGAGCTGACGGAGCGGCTGGGAGTCTTGGTTTGCGTCAGTGGGAGCTGTATACCACAGGACTGTCTGAGGCTTTCCCTTCTAAAACGCCATGCCCACCAATTCTCTTGGTAGATAGGAAGGGTAAGTAAGGTCCCGTGTTTGTGGGTTCAGACAAAGTGACCGTCATCCAACACGATGTGGTGGATTGCAGAAGCAAAAACAAAAACAAACAAAAGCCAATAAATGCTGCATGTGTGGGGCTGACAGAGCGGCTGGGAGTCGGTTTGTGTCAGTGGGAGCTGTACACCACAGGACTGTGTGAGGATTTCCCTTCTAAAACGCCATGCCCACCAATTCTCTTGGTGGATAGGAAGGGTAAGTAAGGTCCCGTGTTTGTGGGTTCAGACAAAGTGACCATCATCCAACACGATGTGGTGGACGGATCATACCTCTCCCAGACTCTGCGCTCCCCTGGCCTCCCCAAAGGCCCCCATGAGAAGGCTCCTGACATTTCTCCAAGGCCGTAAGCTCTGACTGGCTGCATCCCATGTGTTTCTTAGGTGATTACACAGGCACCCAGTGTAGCTCTTCGGGGGAGCTAACTCATTCCACAGAGCTGTCTCTTTGTCCCAGTCTGCAGTTCTCCATCAGCAAATGGTTCTAGAAAGCCAGCACCACTAAGCCTGACCTCCCAGACCAGGTTCAGGAGTTCCTGGGAGCTGTGCACTCCTGCGCTGCTTTTGTTACTGCCTCCTAGACGCTAGGCCACACGGCAGCTCCCTGCCCACCTCTTAGAAGGTATTCCCAGACAGCTCAGGGAAGGAGCTGGGCTACAACTGTGCCCTCTGATGAGATGGAATTGTGGAGGGACCCAAGTCAGCAGTGAATGCTCACAAGGGAGGAGGGTTCAGGTACTCTGAGCTGTGTACTTGGACCGGGGATCCTTGGGTTTTCCGAGTCTCCTTACCCAGGCAGCTGGTGGCCTGGTCCCAGCTCACACCACGTCATCACTTCCTGTGCTTCATCCTCTGAGGAAAATCTTGAGACATCAGAAGCCATGTAGCTCAGTGGTTTAGGTCCTACGGTGTCATTAGTGAACACAGCACAGCTTGGACACAGTCGGTTACCCAGCCCTGTAACCACTCACCATGCCTTCCCGAGTCTTGAGCGCAGACACACATCCAGGGAAAGCCGCAAAAGCAGATTCTTGAGCGTAGGGGTTTTACGCTTGCTGTTTCTGAGCGGAAGTGCTTATCGAAGCCCTGTCTGTCTCTGGAGCATCATGTGAGGAACATGGTCATGTCAAGGTGTGGTCTGGAACCTAGGACCTGCTTGTTCACAAGTGTGGGCCAGATGCAGAAGCACCCAAGAGCTCCAATTCCACTCTAATCACATGCCATTCCATAGGACGCTCCTTTAATGAGGGTTAATGACACTAATTGCTGTCCCCTTCACTTAGGAAGATACTCAAGAGGGGCTAATTGCCACATAATGGCCCAGGAATAACGCAGGCCCTGTCAAAATTGCAGAGAAGAGTGCTCTCCTCGTCCCGGCCACCACCTGACCCTGTATCCCCGCAATCACCTGCTGCTTTTCTTCAGGAGAGGCTTTTGTGTGTCCCGGGTCATGTCAGTGAGAGCAGGCATGGGGCTGCGTTCACTTTCCGGGAACTTTGGATCTTTCAGCACGACCTCCATCAGATCCATCGGGCTTGGTAACTGTGGATGGCAGCAGGACAGAGACTTCCCACCGGCTCTGAGTAACACAACTCTCCTATGTGTGTGTCTCTGCAAAGGTGGGCGATGTCGAATCCAAAGGAAGAATGTGCAGGTGCCTGGGCCTGGAAATTTCTCTTCTAGGAATTTATCTGGGAAATGTACTCTGTGCTGAGTGTAGCTCATGTCCAAGGCTTGTGGGTCAACACGAGTCTCATGTCTGCATGTGGTCTGTTGATGGTGCATATAGGCTGTGACATGTGTGGCTGGCTGGAGAATGGCCTGTTGCTGCTAGTCTGCTTCCGTGTCCTGAGGCCTGCTGCTGGGCCCTGGGAGAGCCTGGCTGTCTAGCCTGGCCTGTTGGAGAGGACATTATGACTTTGTGGTGTACTCCAAACTGCACTGGAAATGAATCAGCCATCTTAGTTATGCCTCCTTCCTGGAACTGTGTTCTCAACAGAGTTTTGAGGTGGATGACTTCCACCCAGGGGTCCCTCATGTTCTTACAAAGCTTAAAATTATCTTCTGAATCCTTTACTCACCTATCCTTAAATATTTTTCCCTTTACGTTTTTTTCACTTGGATTTTATTTTACCTGCCTTTATCCCATTTTTATTTAAAAGGCATTTATTAAGTCGGGAATAAAACTTATTATTATTATTATTTTGGTCTTTTTGAGACAGGGTCTCCCTGTAGCCCCAGCTGTCCTGGAACTCACTCTGTAGACCAGGCTGGCCTCGAAATCACAGAGGGTCCGCCTGCCTCTGCCTCCCGAGTGCTGGGATTAAAGGCGTGTGTCACCACACCTGGCTCTTTTATTATGTTTTAATTATGTATATGTGTGTCTGTGTGTGGGTTTATGCACTTGTGTGTATATGTTTGAGGAGGCCAGAGAGGGTTTCAGATCTAGATCTGGAGTCACAGGCAGTTGTGAACCGCCTGATGTGGGTGCTGGGAACTGAACCCGGGTCCTCTGGAAGAGCAGTAAGTGCTCTTAAGTGCTGAGCCATCTCTCTAGCCCCATCCTATCCAATTTTTATGTTGTGGTTTTTGCCAAGTCTTTGGCTTACGGAGGTCAGGGTGCCTCTGTGGGACACTGAACAGGTCAGTCACATCAGCCCAGTGGTCTAAGTATTAATGGGGGAACCCAGACTTCCTGAGCCTCATCTTCAATGCAAGGAGGCTGACAGACTTCACAGTTAAGACTTCATTTAGCTCCAGCGACCAAATTATTGAGTCTATTCAAGGAAAACAGCTTTATTTCACTATGTAATATATATTACTACAGCAAAAATTAATTTATTAAAATATGTGCAAGAAAACATACAGTGCGTACAGATTAATGAACAGCTAGTGTACTGACAATACAATTATAGCGTACTTGTCACAAGAGCCTTCTCTATCACATTTAAATTTTGATGCTAATACTGACGAATGTTTAACTTGGAAAGAGTATGGGGCATGTGAAAAGCAGATTTAAATTATAGACATTTACACGGGTCAAGGACCAGTGATGAGCAGTAGATGTTGCAAAGGACACCTGGCTTGGTGTTCAGCCTCCGGAAGTGTTAGTGAGCTCAGCGGTGGGAACATGCAGCTCTATGTGTGGCTGCTGGCGCCCGAGCTTCTTCTCCTCAGTCTTCTTTGGGTGGGCAGGGGTGAGCCTCTCCCCGAGGACCTGGGGCCCTCATCCCAGACACTCAGGCTGGCTCCTCGGGAAGGAGTTACTTCTTCTTCTCCCCTTTCTTGTCCTTCTCTTTGCTTCCACCAACTGTTAGTGCCAAGAGTCGCCTTTTGGCCAGAGGGGTTTTGGCATACCAGTTCTGCAATAAAAGGATGTTTAGGGAACCATCAAACAACATGAATACACTGAGATGCTCCACACGGTGAAGACACACACCTGCTAAGAAGCGGGGAGTGGGGCCGGAGAGATGGTTCAGTGGCTAAGGACATTGGCTGCTCTTGTAGAGGATCTGGGTTCAGTTCCCAGCACCTACATGGTGGCCAACAACCAGACATGACTCCAGTTCCAGGGGATCCTGGCCTCCACGGGTATTGCACACACGGGTACACTTACATATATGTAGGCAAAAGCTCATACGCATAAAAATAAAAAGAAGGGGACAGTTGAGTGGCCGTCAGACTCCAGGCATTTGGCGTGTGCTTAGTGCAGACATCTCACATCTCCTGAGTTTTCTAATCTGTGTTTCTCTGTGGTTCGAAACTTCTCCTCAAAAGAGTTTGTAGTTCTAGAGAATTGCAGGCTGACTCTAACCAACAACCCTGCTCACCTGAGGATATGGCTATCCTGATAATTAATGTGCCCGGCCCCCTGGCTCACAGTGATTGGTAGGAAGTCACTCACATGCTCTGAGGGACACGCTGTGAGAAATATGGCAGCAATAATGAAACCAAAAACACCAGACAGTCACTGAGTGATTGAAACCCTCCCCACTGATGGCCTTTTATTTGATACCTGAGAAACAGTTCAGTCTATTTTCTTATATTTAAAAAATTTTTATGTATCTGTTGTGCCTACATATATGTAAGTGCACCTGTGTTGTACAATGCCTGCAGAGGCCAGAAGAAGGCGCCAGATCCCCTGAAACTGGAGTTACTGATGGTTGTTAGCTGCCATGTGGGTGCTGGGATTGGAACCTGGGTCTTCAGCAAGAACAGCCAGTGCTCTTAACCACTAAACCCATCTCCCTGGTTCCATATTTCAGTTTATAAACCTTATAGTAATAATCTCAGTAAATGACTATATGTTATCTATTAATTTTCTTATAACTCACAATTAAAAACCATTTTATTTATTCTTTTCTCTGCGTGTATGTGTGTGTGTGTGTGTGAGTGTGTGTGTATGTGTGGCTATGTACATATGTGCACAGGTACTTATGGAGGCCAGAAGAGGGCATCAGATCCTCTGGAGCTGGAGTTACAGTGTTGTGAGCCAGCTGATGTGTGGGTGCTGGGAACTGAACCCAGGTCCTCTACAAGAGCAGCACGTGCTCTTAACCACCGAGCCATCCCTCCAGTCCCTGGTCATGATTCACACGGCTCCCTAGACACGAGAACTTCTCTGTGAACTATACACAGAAATAGAATTCCTGGAGAATTACAAGATATGATTCAATTAGCTATTGCCAAATTGCTCTCTATGAGTGGGAGACCATTTCAGTAATCGGTCTCAAAATGTCTTTGAGGGGAGAGGGCTCAGCAGTTAAGAGCACTGACTGCTCTTGCAGAGGACCTGGGTTTGATTCCCAGCACCCACATGGTGGCTACGAACCGTCCTTAACTCCAGTTCCAGGGGAATCTGAAGCCCTCTTCTGACCTCCATGGCATTGCAGGACACGGGTGCGCTCACATACGTGCAGGCAGTACACTCACACACATAAAATAATAAATAAGATATTTTTAAAAATGTCTTTGCTTTCTCCTGTCTTGTGGGTGGTAGTTTAGCTGGATAGAAACATGGGCTAAATGTTCATTTTCCTTTAGCACTTTGAAGGTTATAAGCCGCTGTCCTCTGACATCTCTTGTCAAAGAAATGCCTGATTGTTTATGTTGTTTCTTTGTGGTATTCTGGTGGCTTGTAAGCCTGGTTTGTTACCTTGTTCTTAGATTGCAAACAATTTAATCTGACACTGCATACTTTTAATTTGGGGAGATTCTCGGCAAGTATTTCTTCAGATTCGTCTCGTGTTCTTGTCTTGTAGAATTTCTGTTAGTTGAGCGTCAATGCCTCACCCATCTTCTGTGGATTGTAGTTTTACGTAAATGGGTTTTGTCCTTTTGGCTTTCTGTGCCGCCTTCTTGGGAACACCCCAGGACCACTTTCCAGCCAAGAGATCTGCCCTTGGACCACGTCTAGCTGACGGCTCGCACCTCTCTCTTCTTTTGTCATTCAATGTTAACTTTTGTGTTTTCATTTATAAGCATTGTCTTTGTGCTTTAAAGATAATTATCATATTATTTAATTTCATTTTTTTGTTTCAAAGTACATTTCTAGGAAAAGTCATGTTTTCACTTATTTTCTTGAACGTCTTGATTGTATTTCGTCAAACCCTTTTGTCAGATTGTACGTAACACTAGATTTTCTAAAATGTTTTCATCTTTTCATTTTCACATTCATTTTGAGTGGAAAGTTTTACTTTTTCTCCATCGCTCTCATTCCTCCACCCAAGCAATTGTGGAGTTGCTTCTATAAGGTCCCGACTCCAGTCACAGAACCAGGTTTTACATGGATGGTGTGGAGGTAATAATTCTTGGTGAGGGGCTGGAGAGATGGCTCAGCAGTTAAGAGCATTTGAGGAACTGGGTTCAGTTCCCAGCACCCAAATCGTGGCTAACAGAGGACCTAGGTTCAGCTCCCAGTTCCCAGATGGTGGCTAACAGCCACCTGTAACTCCAGTTCTAGGGGATCTGATGCCTTCTTCTGACCTCCTCGGGCAGTGCACAACACGGGTGCACCTACCTATATGCAGGCAATATACTCGTACACATAAAATAAAAATAATAAATAAAATACTAAAAAAATCCTTGGTGATACCAGGATGTCAAAGTCCTAGTCACGAAAGCAGCGACTTTACCATCTTTCATCCATAACTCAATGTCCTTTATTTACTTTTCTTTCTGTGCTGTTATTTATGCATGTGGGTGTACGTGTGCTTTTGTGTATGTGGAGGTCAGAGGACAACTTGAGGGTGTTGGCTCTCTCCCTCTATCACGTGGGTCCTGGGGATCACACTCAGGTCAGTAGGCTTGGTGGCAGGCACTCTACCCGCTGAGCCATCTTGCCAACTCGAATTCATTTTCCTTTATGTTGCATTCTGTGGAATATTCTTTGACCCTTTTTCTAGCACTCCTCCTTTAGCTGTGTTCAGTTAGCAGACAGCATTTGCTGAGCTTCTGCTTTAATGTTTAAATTTTTCAGCATCAGCATTCTACGTGGTTCTTTTTCTTGTGTGCTTTACCCTTGTAATGTTTCTGGGTTAAAAAAAAATTTTATTTATTATTATTATTTTTTTATGTGTATGCCTGTATTGCCTGCACGTAGGTAAGTGCACCCGTGTCATGCAATGCCCGGGGAGGACAGAAGAGGCTGTCGGGTCCCCTGGGACTGGAGTTACGGACAGTTGTTAGCTGCCATGTGGGTGCTGGGATGCGAACCCGGGTTTTCTGCTAGAACAGCCAGTGTTCTAACCGCCGAGCCGTCTCTCCAGCTCCATGTTTCTGGTTTTTATTATTCAGTTATACTAAGCAGTCCCCCTGGGAATGTTCTCTAAGTTCTTAGCACTACCAACTCTGTAATTTGTATCTGCGCAGTCTCCCCGGGGCATATTTTCTCCTTTAGCAAGGATCATGCCTGCTGTAGGAATCAGATGTCCTTTGCAGGATGAGCTTCCACACAGAATGGTTCTCTATTTGCTTTTGATATGATGTCAGGTTTCTTTTTTTTTAAATGACACCATGTAATTTTGTGAAATGTATTGGTATATCAAGGTGAGATTCTGGTACTCTGAAAGTGGTGGAAATTTGGAGTCCTGATGGACTTGCTCAGGCATGGTCTTTGATGTCTTAGAGGAGACCTTTATTCCACAGGCTCCCTGGTGGAGATCCTCCAGCACCCAGCTCTGTGCAGAACGCAGCTCTGCATCACTTGGGCATAGGGATCTCTGTACAGAGGTGTCTCACGCTCTGCAGAATATCAGCCAAGTGCTTGGCTCAGAAGTTTGCTCCCGTCTCTGAGGTACCTAGGGACTCACTCTTTCTTCTCTTAGCCTTCGCTATATTTTTATGAGTGAAACGGCCAAGTACTTAGTGTTGAGTTCTTAATTTACAGAATTCCTATTTCTATGGCCCAGAATATAGCTAATGAATTTGGCTTTGGAGCAAGCCATGAATTGCACACAGCCCTGTGCTCTTGGCTGAGTGCCCTGTAACGAATGACTGTCTCCTGTATTGTTTTCCTTTCTTTATCGTTGCTTTGGCAAATTACTCAAACTTAGTGCTTAAAGCAGCACATTTATGGTCTTGCAGTTCTGTAGGCCACGGTTTGAAATGGATTTCACCCGGCCGAGGTCAAGGCGTCTGCAGGGCTGTGTCCCTCCCTGGAGGCCCTGCTCTTTCTAGCTTCCACAGACACTCTGTTCTTCTGGCCTCTGGCTCCTCCATCCGCAGGCTGGTGACACTGGGCTCCTTGAGATGCCAGCAAGTCTCTCTCCAGGTGCCCTGTCTCTGGTTCCCTCTTCTGCTTTTCAGAATCATATTGAACTTGTCAGAATAGTTCAGGCTAGTGTCGGTCCTAGGATCCGCTGATAGTAGACTTACCACCCCTTTGCCTGTAAGCTCCATGTATTAGAGTGTGGACGTCTTTGAAGAGCTATGATTCCACCCACCACACCCCTGTACATATTAGGCGCCTTGTAAAGTAGGAGATTGTGAGGTCTAAATTGTGGCTGTATCATCCTCATCATTACATGTTTTCTCTACCATGTCCACACAACAGGATCAAATGTTCTGGAAGGATCTGGATGAGTTCGTTCTGACACATCCCTAGAAGGCAGTAGTCTCACATTACCCAGGGATCTGATGGAATCATCCCATTTGCTCATCTTCTCCAGAAAGGTGTCACTAACACATTTACTGAACAACTACTCGGGGCCACTGCACCTGGTGCTGCTATGGACCGGGGTGTAAAGTGGAGGTGGGAGGGAAAAGGGTTCAGTTTTGTAAACAAATGAAGACAATGGCTGGATCCACCAAGGATGGAGGTGAGAGGCACGTGCACTCTCACCCGGGTCACAGCAGGGTGACTTTTCTTTTCTTGAACAACACAGCCAGCCTTCAAACACCCGGCACAGACGACTCCTAGACATCACTTTGCAAAGTTCAAAACCCAGCTTTAGGTTTGAACACACTAAACCAAAGTCTTCAAAATAAGGAGGAAAATTGGTGTTTCAGAAAGGGGTAAAAAAGGCAGAATTTCAGAAAAAGTTATATCCCTGGAAGATGATATTTGTATATTAAGAACCAAATTTAAATTTAACCTAACAATGCTAATTTAATTTTAATTAATTTTAGTTTTATGTGTATGAGTATTTTGTCTGCATGATTTAAGTGCACCATGTGCACGCAATACCCACAGAGACCAGATGAGGGCATCAGGACTCCTGGGAACTGGAGCTACAGATGGTGGGTGTTGGTAACCAAATGTGAGTCTTTTGCAAGACTAGCCAGTACTCTTAACTTCCAGGCCATCTCTCCAGACCACAGAATGCGAACTTAAACAATTAAAGAACAGACTATAAATTCAAATGCTCAGCAAACTGATTAGTGTTAAAGATGTTCTTCCAGTTTTTACTAGAGCTGGGGGTCATCAAAATACAGCTTATTCGGTAAATCTAGCCTGTTGTTTGTTGTTGCTAATAAAGTTTTATTGAAACAGTCACACTTATTATTTTTTTTTTTACCGAGTGTGCCTGTGCTATGGTTCAGAGTTGATGGCTGGGGCTGAGGCTGCAAAGCTCTTGAAGCCTCAAGTTCTCCCTCTCTGGATCCATACAGAAAACACTCACCACCCCATCACCTAGACCATTACTGCTGGGGTCATTACTCTGATTACTTTTCACTTCCCGGGGGCAAATCAGGAGGGAAATAGTTTTTCAGCCTTGATAGAAAAGGAATTCATTCTAGGGGGAAAATAGCGTAATGTTAAGTAGGCTCCTGGGGGTGAGAGTCTTGAATGAAAATTTCAAGGCCCCTTTTGGTTATGGCGTGACACTGTGGTGACCTTCAGTTCCACAGGGGTGCTCTCCTCCCTCAACTTCCCAGTTGGCCAAGGGAGAGTTACTTTAGAGATGGGAATGGTACACGACTCTATTCACATTGATCTGAAGGAGGGAAAGCAGGCTTTGAGGAGTGCCTGCTGGCCTGGGCACCTGGGATGAAGGTTCCACCTTGACTGTGCCTTGGCCCTGCTTCGTGAATGGGAAGGCACGGGACTGCTGGCAGCTTCATTCCTCTTAGAAAAGGGGCCCTCGGAGGACAGCTCTGGGTTTTCTCTGGATCTCTGGATCGAAAAATCTGCAGTGTCAGAATGGCTCATACACTTGCAAACTAAATTTTGATGAGTTGTGTTTATTACTGAGATGCCCAGGAGGTGGAGAAAGGGAGGACACCACGGAGGACAGGGGCCAAACGGCTTTGGTTTGAAATATACGTAGGGGAGAATTTTCTTTATGCTATAATATGGTTCCATAATATGAAATACAAAGTGAATGCAAAATAAGAGAGAGAGAGAGAGAGAGAGTGTGTGTGTGTGTGTGAGAGAGAGAGAGAGAGAGAGAGAGAGAGAGAGAGAGAGAAAGAGAAAGAGAGAGAGGTTTTGTCTGTTTTTGGTAGGGTTAGGGACTAAACCTAAGGTTTTATGCATGCTAGGCAAACACTCTATGACTGATCTACACTCCCAGCTCTGAAACTACTGGTTTTGATGCTGTTACATTAGTCTATGGTTTGGCTGTTTATAAGGCCACCGATAATGACTTTCCTGCGATCTGGAAGACGTGTTCTACTGCCTAGGCTCAAATAGAGTGCACAGATAAATGGCTTATTGCTGAGGCTCAAAAGAGTTTGTGATCTCAAAAAAATGGCAAATATCAAATTTCATTGTATGTGGCAGAATTCAAATCCATACAGCCCAGGAAACTGGAAGGAGGGAGGGAGGGAGGGAGGTTGGTTATATGAGAAGTATTTGCCTAAGATTTGGCCAGCTGGGTCTTCTGTTACCTTAAAGCTCTCTTCTTCCTCTTTGTACACTGGATTCATGTTGGTCATCATAGCAATGAACTCCTCAGCGGTGAGTGGTTTGTGAGCCTGCTGCCGGATTCTGTGGTCTGTGAGCACATCTTTGACCGCTTTGACAATCTGACCTTGCGTGAAGCCATCGGTGACCTTCGACAGGCAGCTGACATTCAAGGAGTTTGTGAGCACACCTCCATGGCGTTGAATGATATGTTTCCAGAGGACTGTTCCATACAAGATGGCGGGAAAGACAGAGCACAAGCGTCACTGTAGAGTAAACAGGGCTAGCCCAGTTTTCCATACAAAACCCTGTCTTGAGTAAGTGTAATCAAGTGAGTTTGGATAAGTGGCAGATTATTTTTTTTCTTAATTGTGAAGTTCATTTCTTATATTTTTTAAAAAAGAAGTTTTTGCTATTTTGTATGTAGGGGTGTTTTATCTGCACATATGTATGTGTACGGTGTGTATGCAGTGCCTATAGAGACCAGTAGAAGGAATCAGATCCCCTGGAACTGGAATTACAGACCATTGTTGACTGCCATGTGGGTGCTGGGAACCAAACCTGGGTCCTCTGTAAGAGCAACCTGTGCTCTTAGCTACTAAGATGTCTCTCCAGCCCTGATTTCTTGTAATTGTTTTTGTATTTGGAATAAGAATACAGATTCCAGTTTTAATTAGCTGGTACCAGGCTCTGTAGAACATCATATACTGGACTAAATAGAGAACCTTGTTGTCCCCCCAACAACTGTAGACACACTGGCCGACTGCAGTCCACTGGATCAGTACTGGGATCAGTACTGCGCAATGAGGCCTTTCAGTAACAACACAGGGACACTGTAAAAATGAATCATAAAATGATTCTTGATGCTTAACTTCAGAGACAGAATGAACTCTTGTATGATGCTCAAAATAATGTCACATCCCAAGAGTTACATCCTGCTACTCAGACAGCTTTAAGGTGCTTGCTGTTTCCAGACTGAGGTCTGTCTCTTCATTCAGAAGCTCTGGTCAGGCCTTTCTAAAGCATTTCAACTTCCCCAAGGAACACTGAAATTGTATTAAAAAAACGACCCTTCCAATGAGATCTGATGATAGATAGGTCAGGGTATGGGTCAGTCCTGGGTCTATTCAATAATCTCATGATGCAAATCCTTCCACCCAAAGCCGGTGAAGATGCAGGATTCTGCTGTGGGGGTTACAGTGGCTTGTGGGGACCCATGGCTCACATTTAGAGAGACTACTGCTGGGCTGGGAGCTATTTCACAGTTCACCCCAACTGGCTTCCTGGTAGGGGTGCAATGCCCTTGGGTGAGCTGAGTTGCTAAAGGATTAGAAGTGATGGGTTTGGAATCCTGTAGGGAGACCAGCTGGGGCCACAGAGACCCCCTGATTAGCTTGAAGCTACATCTAACTTCCTGGAGCCATCCAGCTGCTTCCTTGGTGTGTTTAAGATGCTGGAGAAGGAAGCAGAGCAACGACCATGAGGCGTGTGAGGCCAGTGTGGTGTGGCCTTGTCCATAGCCGCACTGTTACTGTTACTCAAACTATTATCCTTGCATTGAAGGTTTTAACCCTTATTAAGACATCAATCGTGAAAGATCAGCTACAAAGACTTTTGAAGTATGACCTGTAAAGACAGATCACGGAAGGTGGGGAGAGTCCCCACCTAAATACAACCGCCACAGAGTTAGAAGTCAAGAAATATGACCCTGGTACAACTGACAGCAGCTCAATGACTATGGCTTCTGCCCAGATCTGGCCCATCTACAGAAAGCACCAGTGAATCCGAGAAGTGACTCTGGCTGGATGAGGAGGGAAGGATGAGTCACAGGCAAGGTCCCTAAGATGAGCCCCAGTAGTCATCAAGGCGGGGAAAGAAGATGGTTTCAGTCTTGGTGCACAGGAACAGAATTGCTGCCTGTGGTGTAGGTAGAACTGTCTGTGCGGGGCACTGGGAGCCATGGCACCCCAGAGGCAGAGCCCCCTCCCCCACCCTCGCTGCAGTAGTAACAGCCTTAGATGGTCCCTGGCCAGATCATCCAATCACCCAGCATGAGCAATCTCATCACCAGTAAGGACCTGTCAGTCATGGAGTGCAGGAATCCTGGTGCAGCCAGGTCTCTCATATGCAGAAACTATCTAAATCTACCTATCTATATCTGTATCTATATCTAAATCTGTATCTATAACTCCAGAAGGTGGGGGGAGGAGGGAGCAGAGAGGGTGGTGGGAGTTGGCCATCAGCCAGCTACAATGATATACATGCCTGACAGTGTTCTAAAAATATTTTATTATTTCTATTTTATGTGTATGAGCACATTGCCTGCATGTGTGTAAATGCACCTGTGTTGTATAATGCCCATGGAAGTCAAAAGAGGGCATCAGATCCCCTGGAACTGGAGTTATAGATGGTTATTAGACACCATGTGGATGCTGGGAACCGAACCCAGGTCCTCTGCAAGAGGAACCAGTGGTCTTAACCACTGAACCAGCTCTCCAGCCCCTATGTGTGACAATGTTTTAATGAAACCCATTGCTTTGTACATGAACTAAAAATTGTTTTAAATAAAGAAATACATGATGCTGCTATTTGTGTAGCATTTTGGTGAAAATTCCTCAATGTACACTCAACACTGATTATATTTTAAATATTACCACTGTGAGTGGAGGGGTAGGTTTGAGGGCAGTGGCAGAACTTGCCCACCTGCCCACAGTCACCTTGGGACCCAGAGAGTAGGCGAGAGGACCAGGCTTGACTTAACCTCATGGATGACAAACCTGATCTATTAGATTTTAAAAGACCATGGCTGTGATGTTTTACAAAGTTACTTTGAGCTCTTGACAGTTGAGTGGCTGCCCCCAGGGCCTATGGTTATGGACCTGGTGTAGAGAGTCTTAGTAGAGACAGGAGTGCCATAGTGAGCCCTGGGACTGGCAGACTGCCAGTGTGACCCAGAGCTCAGGTGGGAAGGGCAGGCGCATGGAAATCCTGGGGCTGGTGTGATGTGGGGTAAGGACCCTGTCAGAACTCGAGTACTCAAGGCATTGAAGGGCCCTCTAGTGGGGATTGTATTTATTTTGTGTGCATGTGTGTGTGTGCATGTGCGTGTATGTGTGCATGTGCGTGTATGTGTTCATATGCTGCTGCTGGATATTTTCCTCAATTTTTCTCACCTTAGTTTTTTGAGATAGGGTCTCATGCTGAACCTGGAGTTCACTGGCTTGTCTAGACTGGCTGGCCAGCAAGCTCTAGGGCTCTTCTTTGTCTCTCTCTGCCCAGTGCTGGGATTACCGGTGTGCAGCACCATGCCTGGCACTTAGGTGGGTGCTGGGTATTCAGACTCAGGTTCTCACGCTTGTGTAACAAGAACTTTACTGCCTGAATCCTCTCTCCAGTCTCTGTATGTGACTTTCCCTCTTAAAAGGGAAGGGCTCCTCACTTCCACAGACTAATCAACCCATTAAGGAAACGGGGAAGAACCTGGGCTCTGCCTTGGTTCCGTCAGCTTTTGATGCCCCCAAGTGACCCCATCCCGGCTGGACTCAGCATGCCACAGTATCTTAACATTCATTTTATCTTGGGATTCACAGGTGGAAGATATGAATGATATGCTTTGAGTGAGTGGCTGACCCTCTGGGGCCTTGAATTCCAAACAAATCTGAAGACGTCACCGGGGCTCATCCCATCACACTCCGGCCAGGCGGGGCCTATGATGAATTGTGTAATTAGCCAGAAAGACCCTGGGGAAGTGCAGTGAGAGGGAAGCATTAGGGCTCTGGAGAGGAGGCGGTCCAGGGGGCTTCTGCGGATCAGACAAGGCATTTATCAATCAGGGGGTGTTTCTTTGCACAGCGGCATGATTTGGGGGCTAAGAGGGAAGGCAGACACTGAGTTATGTCTAGTAGACCTTACTGTGTGTCCCCCAGCTGTCCCCCTGGCCTGTTTGTGCCCACTGACCCCACTCAGTCCTGGGGTCTTTGACAAGTGGGGTGGGAATGTGTTCAAACACCTCTGTGGCTCTGCTGCCAGCAGACGGATGGCTGAGCAGCTATGGATCTGCAGCCTCGGACTGCCAGGATGGGAGAAACCAGTTCTGAGCACTGCTAAGGCAGGAGCCGTCTTTCTTTAAGACAGATGCTCCGCTAGGACAACTATGAAGGCTTCAAGGTTACTGCGGGAAACGAGGGGCAGCGTTTATGAAGTCAGCAGGAGTGGCGCCCGAACAAATCACCATCAGGAAAGAAATATGTGAGAAGCAGGCGCTTGGTGGATGGGGCCAGGGCCCAGGAGAGGTGCTTTCTTACCACGGGGGAAGGGACACCGTCTCCTTCTCCACCATGACACTGATGCCGCAAGAGGCTGAGGAAGGGATCCATAATGTGACCCAGTCCTCGGAGATGCCTGGCGTTTTGTCACAGAGCAAAATCACCGTGATGCACATCGATAGCTTCGTTTCTAAAGGGCCTGTAGTTTTGTCAAACAACAGCAACCATTCAATCCAGAGCAAAGAATGCTGCTGTGGTGACTTGAAATGAATGACACCCCCACCTTACTGTACTAACCCGACATATGTAGAACAAAAAGGGGAGGAAAAGAGGGGAGAGGACGGTGGGGACGCGCTGGCTGAGACCTCAGCTGTGGTCACCGGGAGTGTGGCTGCCGTTGCGCCTCCCTCCGTATGGACTCCTTGCATCGTTGGGCAGCCTGTCGCCCCTGAGCTGGCCTCATTTTGACCAAGGTGATAGAGCCGAAGAAACGTCCTTTCCTCTAAAGTCTCCCGTGACATCCACCAAATACACCTTTTCTCTGTTCTGAGGCTGGCTGGCTGGAGAGAACCCCAGTGTGAGTTGTGTGGTCCTCCATGATAGGCAAGCCCTAGAAGGGCAGAGGCATAAGGGGTCCCCAAATCCTCCAGTGCTTTGTGTATGGTGATGATTTATGAAGCCAGGGTCACACTGTGTCAAGATAGATGGGTGCTGTAGAGAAAGGCCTTACAATACTTGCCGTATCTGGAAGCGTAATCTGGTCTGGGAACCAAAATAATTTTCTGGTAAACTCTGCAGAAAGACTGAATTTCAGCATCAAAAGGGCGCTGTGTGGTTCCCACCAGCAGGACTCTATCGTCTGGCTTTAGGAGTTTCAGGAGTTTTGGAAGGTACTTTTTCAGGCGTTTTGGTTCATTCTGGGAGGAAGAGAGAAGGGAAAGATTAGTTCACACAGAGAAAGCTGAATGGGAGAAAACGTTCTGTAGTAGGAAAACACGTAGGTTTCGCAAAGTCGGCTCGAGGCTCTGAGCAGATTCCCTGTTCCCAGATGAGCCCTGGAAGGCGCTTCCTACCCTGAGTGATCTTTTAGTAAAGTTTATTTTTATCTTTGTGTTTGCATGCTTTTGCCTGCATGTATGTAAATGCACCGTGTGCATGCAATACCCACGGAGTCGGAAGGAGCTGTCGAATCCCCTGGAACTGGAGTTATGGACGATTTGTTAAGACACCATGTGGGCGTTGGGAACTGAACCCAGGTCAGTGCTCTTAGCCACACTGAGCTATCATTCCAGCCCCCTCCGGTGATTTTTAATTGTTGGAATTTCCTGTCCTCAGCCTCTAGCATTCGGACTTGGAATTTAAGAAGGAAGGAAGCACCTGCCGGAGCAGGAGCACTGGCACCTTGACCCTCTCAATGCCCCCATCCCCCTAAGGCTGATTTCCCAATGGAAGGAGCCCATGGGGGTGGAGGGGGTGGGGTGCGGAGACAGAGGCTCTGCTTTGCTCTGAGCTTTTTGGAAGAGGGACTCAGGGTTCACTGTACTGATGGAGTAACCATGAGGATCCGAGGTCCCAGCTTTCATGTTGGAAAAATGCCTGGCCGCAGAAGGCTCGGCAGCCGTCTCTCTGAAGCACCTCGGCAGCCGCTTGGGGCTGTATCACTGCAGCATAACATCAGTACTAATGAGGGAGAAGTTGGAGTGAGGATTGGTTCTCTGCTCTGGACCCCTGGGAGAGGCAGATCTGGCCCTGTTGCCATGGGCAACACCCTATCTTGCAATTAAGCCTGACTGGCACAGCTCAGCAAAGAAGGATGCGTGGGAAGGAGCCTGGCAGAGATGCTCACGCCCAGCCCTGGCTGCTGCCCCACTGGCTGGTGGCTGGTGCTAGTCTGTATCTTCATTAACTTTGTGGTCATTTGCATGCCCACTTTGGGGAAAAAATGTGTATTTACAACTTTAGCATGTTAAAAACACTGGTTGTCTTTATTACACTGTAGGAGTTTTTATGTTTTAGGTACCAGTCTCTTGCCAGTAAGTGCTGTGCAAATATTTGCTTCCATTCTGTGGGCCACCTTTTCACTGTTTAAAATTTCCATTTGTTCATCTCAGAACCTTGTAAGAGTTCTGTGGGGCTTTCATCACCCTGGGGTGCTCTCAGGGCCTCTCACATGGGGGGGGGCAGGTAGGAAAAGAGGCTTTGAAGTAAAGAAGGGAGGCTGGGTCAAAGGTCTCTGGCATACAGACAGTGCTCAATAAGTGCAGAGTAACTGATTCTCAAGCTGTTTATCTTCTTTATTATTTACCTTTGTGATGCCAGATAATTTGCCCTTCCAGAGGCAGATCCCCCTGTACCCCAGGTACCCACAGTTCTCAGCAGCCCCAACATCACCAGAGTCTCTTAGTCCAAGGATCTGTGCAAGTCTTTTGGAGGTAGTTATGTACTGAGTGTCACTTGCTGTAGGGGCAGCATTGAAACCCAAGTGCATGGTCGTATCACTGCCCAGGTCGCCCCCCCCACCTCCACCCACTGGCCCCAGCCTGGGCTCCTTCTCCTTCCTCCAACAGTGATTCTAATAATGGGCTTTAAGTCCCACTTGTAGCTCTGATTGGTGGAAGGCACCCCAGTCTCTTCATCTGTAAAATGTGGCAATGATAGCTTTGAGCTAGGCAGAGCTTAGTACACCTGCCCCTGGCTCGTGCCCTTTCATGTGAGTTTACAAGTCCCCTCTCTTGTCTCCTGTAATAGGCCCTCAGATTGGCTTATTAAACACAGATGGGGCTGACAAGTGTGTCAGACGTGGGATCCATGGCAGTTACCACACTTGACACAAATCTTTATCCTGTGGAACTGACTCATCAGCAGAGAGGGTAAAAACAGGTCCACAGACAAATGGTTAGATAGCATGTTACCGGATCTGTGTGGTGAAGAAAGAGAAGGCTTGCCAGTGAGCCGGAGCTGGGAGGGAGGGGCCATGGAGGGGAGGCAAGCGACAGGGACAGTGCCGAGATGCCATCTGCCCAGAGCTGTGACAGGGAGGAGGGTGCCCTATGGACCAGGGAAAGAGGTCCAGGGAGAGGCCGGTGAGTGCAAAGAATCCCGAGGTCCAGATGTACTGGCTGGTTGTAGGACCAGAGAGGCCCAAGGGGAGACCGAGGGGATGGGGCCGGGGCAGGTCTGCAGCCAGATCACGAGAGCCTTGTGGGCTTTGAAAGTCAGCAATGCAAGTGCCTGTCACTTCATTCAGAGAGGGGTCCAGGCCCTTTCCTTCTATGTCAGAATACAGTTCCTGGCAGGACAGACTCTACCTCTGACTTCCCACCTCATGGGTGCTTTTCCAGAAGGTTTCCTGTCCATCTGTACTAGTCCTGTCTCTGCCCGGCAGCTGAGGCTTAGTTCGGGTGGGGCCTTTCGGCATGGGTCCCCTGTGTCTTTTTAACTAGTTGATGGACTCCCCTGCAACTAAGGGTCTAAACGCAGATGTTCTATGTTGCTTGTGTTTTCAGTGTCACACCTAAGAAGCCATTGCCCAGCCCACCGTCACTATTTTTATGTAAATTTATGTATAAATACGTATATTTATATGTTGATGATATTTTTCTCTAAGGGGCATTTATTTTAATTCCTACTTGCAGGTCTGATGGACTACCTGTTAACTTTTGCATACAGTGTGAGGTAGGGGTTAAATTTGTTCCTTTACAGATGCCTCTGTCCAGCTGTTCCAGCACCATTTGTTGGAGAGGTAATGTTTGCATTAAGTCGTCTTGGTACCTTTGTCAAAAATCAGCTGCCTGTGACTGTGGGGATTTATTTCTGGACCACCATTCTACTTATTAATTTATATGTCATTCTTTGCTGATGCCAGGATCACACATGGGTTTTGCTCTTTGCAATATTGTAGCAGTTAGGAAATAAAATTGAGAACTGTTGGAGATCTCCTGACAACTTTGCGTCTCTTTTAAAAATTATTTTGGCTGGATTTCTTGAACTTCTATGTGAACAAACCAGCAGGACTATTTATGGGGGTTTCACTGAATCTGTAAGTGGATCCCGGGATGATGTTGTCTTTACATTAAGTCTGTAACCCATGCACACAAAATGTCTTTGTTTATTTAAGTCTCAGAATTTCTTAACAATGTTTTACAAGTAGTCTTCAGAGAGATGTCTATGGAGCAGGGATGGACAAGCTGAGGCTGGTGGGTTGAGACATGGGTGGAGACAGAGGGGCTAGTTTAGTCCTTTGAGAAGCAGAGCGGGGAAACAAGCCTTGTAGGGGTGATAGCCTCTGAGCGGTGCACCTGTGAGCTGCCCAGAGATTAATGGCAGAAGGACTGATCAGACGGTCCTGGGAGGCTGGAGACACACCTGCCGGGCTGAGGCAAGCCTCCCCCCCCCCAGCAGCTCAGTTGCTATGGTGATGGCAGCCCCAGCTCTTCCTTCGGAGGCAGGAGATGATATTACTGCTTGCATGGCCTGACATGGCAGGGGCAGCTGAAATTAAGTAGCCTATTTGGATGACAAATGTTGATCCTGGATGGGCCCATAGTGACATCTACACACCGAGGTGCGGGGCCACCTCCACATTCGCCAGCCCTCACTGCTGGCCCGCCAGCTCCTCACAACTGTATTATGTGGGCAATTTCAAATTAGTGGCATCTACACGGCAATTTCAATTTGCTTTTTCTGCAGTTAACGCCACAAAACGAGCACGGCAGCCAACGCCGACAAAGCAAGCAATTCCCCGGTGGAGGTGGAGACCTATTGTGGCGGCGGGGAAGGCTCGGGCTAGATGAAGTAACAAAGGGTAATGGTGCAGAAAACGCAGGAGCGGGCATTTTTGCCTCATTCTTTACCTTCTACTCCCACACGACAACTGACCGGACGGAGCAGCGTGGGGTGGGCACTGGATGGGGCCCACCACGGCAGGGCCGGATTCCTAAGAGCAACCAGGGTGGGGCCCTGATGTTGGACTTTCCTGAGGTTCCTGAGGCCTGAGGGCTTGTCAAGGGTTTCTGGGGTGACGCAGGAGCAGGAGGATAGGCGATTGGAGTGTTGTATCTTTTTGGCTCTTAGGAGGTCCCCAACAGACAGTTCTCAGGAGGTCTAGTATGCACCCAGGGGAGCTAAGGGGATGAAGAAGGACACACCAAGAGGGCTAGCCCCATAGCAGGAGAAACCAGTGTGTATACTATAGATCTTACAGCCCACGGGTGGCGTCTAGGAAAGGTCAAGGTGTGGCCTCTGCACTTAGCCTGGCTCTGAATCCATTACCCCTTACCAGTTCCGCATTCTCTCTGAAAGAGAGGACCAGGTCTCTGTCCCAGGGCTGCTGGGAGTTCCCTTCCTGGGTTTATCCTGTCTCTTTTTCCTGCCCTCTCTAGCCAGGCCTCCGGTCTGGTAGACCCAGGAGTGTGGCTTCCTGACCTAGGCTCCATACTCGGGAGCTGTGGGTGCCCAGCCAGCCCTTCTCCATTTTATTTCTCAGAAGGATCTGAGCTTCACGCATTTACCATGAGGGGCCTTAAGCCAAGGCAGGAGGCATTGAAGGGGAATCTGTCATGGTGGATGAGATTTCACAGGGGCGTTCCTAGAACCCCTGAGCCAAGCAGACAGCTACTCTGCTGGGCCAAGCAGCCCTACTCTTCGTGCTGTGGCTGTGGTCGATGGGGACGTGGACTCATGCTTACTTCTCTGGGCCTTGGTAGTTTGGAGATCAGGAAAGTCTTTGGGATAATGGCTGGGCAGGAGGAAGAAAGAGCACTGGGTCCAGGGGACATTCTAGGACTTGTCTGACCATGTGGCTTATGGTCTTTAAGGCAGGAAATTCCTCTGACAGTTAAGGATCTTGTAGCAGAAGTGAGCAGAAGAAATGTCTGATTTGCTGACAGCGAGGCCTCCTTTGCCTATAGAGCAGACTCAGCCATGGATGGTATTTGTGAGGTCAGAGAGGTGAGAACAGACAGGCTGCTGCATGGTCTGGAGAGGTGGCTCACGTGCACCGCCATCCTCTCCCTCCTCTGCCAACCTCCTACCTCCTGCTGGCTCCCCACATGCGAGGTACCTATTGAGCCTCGCTTTGCTTCCAGCCGCCAGTGCTTCTCAAAGCCCTCCAGCCCTCCCCATTGGTCTCTGGACCTCTCGACGGGCCACATCTGTCTGATTCACTGTAGACTCAGATTGCTGTGGTTGCTGATAGTCAACTGACACAGCTAAGTGGTTTTAGGAGAGGGTGGGAGGGAGGCTTCCTGAACCCAGAGACTGTTCTGGTTGGAACTCTTTGACTTGGTAGTGTCTTCCCATCACGCAGGTTAAAGTCCCCGTGGGAGAGCAAGTCACCCTGTCCCATCAGCGATGCACATGTCTAATGGTGTCATATGTATGACCCCTGACTGAGCACAGCCCTGCATTGCTCTTTAGACTTAGGACCTGATCCTCTGTCATTTTTCTGTGGTCAATTCCTCAGTTTTGGAACCCCCCCAATATCAGAGTCTGGCCAGCAGAGGGCGCTAACTGCCAGATTCCCAGCTCAAATAATGAATGACTCCTAAGAGTTTCTGAAATGACAGGGCAATCAGGACTCATTTGGAGAAGAAAAGATTGAGCTTTTATTCTTTATCCAAATCATCTCTACCTGCTGAAAATGATGTATAATACATAAGGACCCAAAGTGATTAAAATCCTTACGAATTTAATCAGAAATTCACAGTTAACCACTATTTGCTTTGGTGTAAATTGGTGTGGGATAACAGGCCTGTGTATCTGCAATTTTTTTTTTAACCTGTGGGAAATTTTCTGGTGATTGGTGGGGGGAAGTGTGGGGGAGGGGACCATTGAAAGGGGAGAAAAGAAGGAAGGAAGCAATTGGGACCAAACTCCCTGGAGACCCCCCATGTAAGGACTTATCTGGGCTGTTGACGGCCTTTGTTTGTGAATTTCAGATCCTTTGCTATTTATTATTATGAACAATAGGAAATGCTAATAATAACTCCATGTGTGCCCCTGGTCATCGCCGAGCAGAGCTCTCTAAATTGTTTCTTTCCTCTGAATCATATGTTTGAGCTGAAATCCTCCCTCTTGTCTCCGTTTTCTTCTGAATTTACCTCATAAGACTCAAGCCTCTGGATTCTTTCAAATACTGACAAGCACTTAGGGCAGGCGGCCTACTGTGGGAGAATTTAAAAGTCCCACATCTGTCTCCTTTTCTCCCTTGAAAGACTTTTTTTAAAAAGTAGAGGCAGACCTTGTGAGGGGCCCTGGGGAGGAAGGAAAAGTCAGAGGCAGAAAGCACTGGGACACGCTTACCAGCTTCTCAGCCTGGGGAACTTTTCTGAGGAAGGTTTTCTCTGTGTCTTGGATCCACACCACAGACGGCTGGAGCTGGCGAGCCACCTGAGGGAGGGAAGCGGGCCTGGAGCTGGGTGTCCCACAGCAGGACATGGCAGGCCTCCCTGGAATGCCTTGAGGAAGGCAGACCTTTGAGGTCACCCCAACACGCCTGCCTACCCCCCATGGCACGGGAGGCTTTGCAGCTCAGAAGCTGCCTACAGGATGAGGTCTGGCTGTGGCCTCCCCTCCGCTGTGGAGGGCCTGTCTTAATGGACACGCATTCCTGTTCCAGCACCCCGAGTCCCTGCTCGGTTTGGTTTTCAATAAACCAACAATTTTCTGCTGGGAGTGAATAGGAACGGGGCCACAGGTTTTAGTCATGGCTGACTTGCAGCCGGTCCCCAGGGTTATTCAAGTTTGCTTACCATGAGAAAAGTTTCGTCACAGGCTCTTGGATGCTACGTGTTAGTTTCCTGTGCCTCTGTGGCCAAGGCTCCCCCTGGCAGGCAGCTCTGAACCTCTCCAGACTGGACAGGGCTTTGGGATGAAGTTGGGACTGGACTTACCCATGGCCCACACACCCATCAATCTCTTCAAATCACCCCCGTGACAACGAAGTTCTTTTGCAATAATGAAATTGTGGTGGACAAAGGCGTTTTCAGCCACAGTGTTAGGCAGTCTTATTTATATACTTCCTGGGATGAAAAGATTTTAAACCAGGTCATTCATTCGATAGCTCATAGAAAGTCACTAGGGGCAGGAAGGCCATGTCTATTTCCCTGACATTATATACCAAGTGGCAAGTTAGGGCCAGAAATCAGATTATGCACCAGCAAGAACAAGTGGATGTTGACTGAACTTGATTCTGCGTGGCCTAACACTTGGACTGATGCTTCCACAGCCCCTAGTGCACCAGGACATGCAGCAAACAGCCAGAACCAGCATGGTTGAGGACGCTTTAGGAGTTTAGACTACAAAGCCTGAGAATTCAGAGTCCCAAATTTTAATTCCAGGCTTTAGAATGCGTGACTAAGGAGGAAGCCAACAGTGAGCAATGGGATTGGTATGTACCAGGCATGAGGCACAGGTGCTGTGTACATCAGAGCCAGTGCATACCTTACAGCATGCACACACACATCAGAGGCAGAGGGGACATGTGAGAACCAGTGCTCACATGTCAGAGCCAGTACACACACATCAGAGCCAGAGTACACATGTCAGAATCAGTGTACACATGTCAGAGCCAGTACACACACATCAGAGCCAGTACACACGTTAGAATCAGTGTACACATGTCAGAGCCAGTACACACACATCAGAGCCAGTACACACACATCAGAGCCAGAGCACACGTTAGAATCAGTGTACACATGTCAGAGCCAGAGTACACACATCAGAGCCAGAGTACACATGTTAGAATCAGTGTACACATGTCAGAACCAGTGCTCACACATCAGAGCCAGAGTACACGTTAGAATCAGTGTACACATGTCAGAACCAGTACACACACATCAGAGCCAGTACACACACATCAGAGCCAGAGTACACATGTTAGAATCAGTGTACACATGTCAGAACCAGTGCTCACACATCAGAGCCAGAGTACACGTTAGAATCAGTGTACACATGTCAGAACCAGTGCTCACACATCAGAGCCAGAGTACACGTTAGAATCAGTGTACACATGTCAGAACCAGTGCTCACACATCAGAGCCAGAGTACACGTTAGAATCAGTGTACACATGTCAGAACCAGTGCTCACACATCAGAGCCAGAGTACACGTTAGAATCAGTGTACACATGTCAGAACCAGTGCTCACACATCAGAGCCAGAGTACACGTTAGAATCAGTGTACACATGTCAGAACCAGTGCTCACACATCAGAGCCAGAGTACACGTTAGAATCAGTGTACACATGTCAGAACCAGTGCTCACACATCAGAGCCAGAGTACACGTTAGAATCAGTGTACACATGTCAGAACCAGTACACACACATCAGAGCCAGAGTACACATGT